ATAGTCATTGCCAAGTGCTATCTTTTCATCAATGGAGACCGTAGAAATATCCTATGAATGCCGAAGTCGTTTTGCCCACCCACTTTCTTGATTGCCCTTTTTTACTCGTATCCCCCCCTCATTCTTTTCATTAAGCCCACCTCAAATACAACAACTTGTTGCTACTAGTAATGGTACCTTTACTCAGCAATAATAATAATAACTTTAAATCACAGATAAATACTTGATGAGTATTCATATATATATATATATATATGTGTGTGTGTGTGTGTGTGCGTGCGTATTTGTGTGTGTGTATGTATGTATATATATATATATGTGTGTGTGTATGTATGTATATGTATATGTGTGTGTGTGTCTGTATTTAGGCAGCAAATTCTCTTTTAGGCATGTCTTATTAAATAAATTAGAGACATTTTGTCTGCTTATTTTTAATAAAATCCATTCATACTCTCGGATAACCTTCCGTGTATTGCAATTAAATGGTGTACGAAATGTGCAATAACTATGAAAATCGTTTTTATTTTCCATTCTCCCAAGTAGTTTCGATCTTCTTCCGAGATCATCATCAGCGGTGTACGTAGTAATACAAAACTGTGTTGTTCACGGGTGTGAAAATAAGCACAGCGCGCAGCATCTACACTCTGATCCTAGACTGAGAACAGGCTCAGGGTAGTTGCAGTTTGATGTGAGCCAAAGCGCACATATACTACACTAATCCTAGCGAAACTACCGATCCATAAATAAATGAATCCTTCATTTTTGACAGGCGTTATACTCGTAATCATAATAACAATATACACTGGTTATTTGACAGCATTTTATACAGACACTAAAGCTATCAATGAAAGTGATTGCAATTAAACTATCATTTTTATTATATTTTGATATCTAGGGGATAATGGAGTTTTTATAAGGTTGGGCTTTCTTTAATTGTTAACCATTTATATATATATATATATATATATATATATATATATATATATATATATATCACTGACCCTGCAATTTGAGCGAACCTATATCTTTAAGACTGGGTCAGATCAGCAGCTGGTGACAGTAGTGCCAATAATAATAGTAGTACTAAAGAAAGAAAACTATTAATCAATGGGTATCAATAAGTAAAAGTTGTAATAGAGTTGTATTCATTCTGGGTTGCGTTTTTCTTAATGAAAAAGAAAAAAGGCGTACAACAGACACATTAATAGTGAGGGCGTTATAGTATTATACACAATATAACAACTTATGCTAATATTAAAAGTCGCATTCATAGTAGTGGTGGTAGTAGTTTGGAAAATATTAATGGCAAGTTTTAGAATGATCTGTTATAGTAGTTGTGGTGGCTCTTATAATAGTGGTGGTATGAGTCCTGGCCATTGTCGTTGTTGTGGTGTTGGTGAGAGTAGCCGTCATAGTCGTAGTATTGCACACGTATAACAGCAGCAGCAGCTTTTACGGGTGGCAAAGGCTGTAAAGTTGACAGTGGTGGTTGCAGTAGCGGTACCTGCTATCGATAGTGACGATGGTAGCAGTGGTGGTTGTGGCAGAGGATATATACAGCAAGCCACCACCTTTGGGTCAGCACTGCCTATGGTTGGGGAATGAACGAGTGTGAGCGTTAAAACTCGGTTGGCTTCTGACGTCATAGAGCGGGGAGAGTGCAATGAATGAGCTCGGCTTGCCAATCCCGTCATGCACCGGGGCTGGCTGCTTGCTACTTATTGATCGTATGCAATAAGGCCTCGCGAACATTTTACAACTGTTCCAGTTGGAGTTGTTATATCAGCCAAACCGGAAAGCAGGCAGCCGCCGTGCCACCGGCAGGGACTTTTCTGGTCGCATTTTTTACGCGTGCCAGATACGACATTCATTGAGAAAGCTGCCGACATTCAAGTCCTGATTTTTAACATTCACAAAATTCTGCGTGTCTCCTTTTTAACTACGTCTCTTCATTTTATCTTCTTTTTTTTCTCTCGGTGTCTTCCTTCGTCATATTCCATAGCTGTACTTCACACAAAATAACGCAGTTATAGTCATTCGAAATTGTTTACCATTTTACAAGAAACACTTATCTGTGTGGATTTAATCACTTTACAATACACTTTTCGGTTAATCGAAAAGATCCCTGAAAAAAGAAAGAAAGCCGATTTTAGAATGATAGTAAATTTTTCTTCCAACCTGTGTTCGCCTAACTCATGTGCGTATAGCTTTTCATTCATTCATTCAGCCATCGCTGGGTTCATTCATTAGCCTCACACACATACACACCCACACACACGCACACATACACATAGTCTCATGCACACACACACTCACACTCACACGCATAATATGCACATATTTACACATATAGCATCACTTACAAATATATACTTCACTTATATGAATGTATGTATAACAGAGATTACATGTTGGAGTTTCCAAGTTTAGACACTTGAAGCATATAAAGTTCGAATCAAAGAGTTTGAGAAATTTATGTAGTACCTGAACATAATGGTATGTTTCTATTTCATGTTTCATTCTTCTTCATTGACTTATATCTTACGAAATGTGAAAAGGCTGTGAGTGACTTATATTAATATTGCAAAATCCAGGTGGGCGATTTCGCTTTGTCTTGTGCAGCCTGTCAACGTAAAAGAAAAGAAAAAAAGAAAGAAAAAAACAGCCAGGTCACTCTCTTTTTCTTTTCCCATATATATATATATATATATATATATATATATATATATATATATGCGTTTAAAAATCGTACAGCTTTTCATATCTATCTCAATCTACACTGAAGACAGTTCTTGAATTTTTTTTCCGAAGCCCAAATTCCTGGATTGGCGCTTTCTTATCTCCCACAACGGAATGGTTTTTTTTAACACTTTCTGCAACCTTTTCGTGCAAAAGATTTTTTTTTAAATAGAAGAGATTGCGGAAGGTGAAATTAAATAGATGAGGACAAAAAAAACAAAAGAAAAAAAAACAAAGAAAAAAAAACCTTTAGCCGCTGGTCATTAATATTTCGTTATGTTACATATCTACAAGTGTCTTCAGTTACATGTGTGGACAATTGAACCACCCTTCATGCAAATCCCAAACTAGACCAATCGATTCTTAAACAGCGGTTTATTTGCTAACAGAAACGTCAACGTCAAGTTATCGTCATTTAAGGCATGAACCCGTTGCTATATGCATCTGCCTACGAGGCCGACGGTCTTTTAAACTTTAGACAGCTTGCGTAATCAGAGCTTATGTGACAATTTTGGAGTTTGCCAAAGGCGCAAGATAGATTTTTAACAATGCATAAACGAAAGACAGCCAGCCGGTAGCGTCGTATGTAACGCGTCCCACGCGCTTATACGCATATAAGAGGATGCATTTGCGTGCAGTGACAAATTAACGGCTATGCAGATGTGCACTCATTTTAATGTCGACGAACCCGGTTCACTCAGTCAGGTGTTACCGGAATTTTAGGGGATAGAAAAAAAAATGGTCGGGAAAAACCCACACGTGCAACCGAACGTGCACGGACGCACACAGAAAGTGAAGATGCACAAAGTTGCATAGATATAATACACACAAATGCATACATATGTATGAATGTATATATATGCACACACACAAACAGACACACACATATATATGCGATTGTATATCTGGATATATGCATATGATTATAACGTAATTACGCATAGCAATTGTACTATAAAAATGTCATAGCTTATAGGTGACCGATAAACAAATTCCAAATCTGTAATATATATATATATATATATATATATATATATATATATATATGTGTGTGTGTGTGTGTGTGTGTGTGTGTGTGTGTGTGCTACACATCAGTTGAGATAGGCAAATAAATAGCTATCTGTAAAAATATATGCGCATTTATTCATAGAAATAGACATACGCTCACATATATTTATATACATATACACACACGCTGATATATATATATATATATATATATATATATATATATATATATATATATATATATGACATTATATCAGACAGATACATACATACATATATATATATATATATATATATATATATATATATATATATATATATATATATATGTATGTATGTATGTATATATGTATATTTATATATCTGTCCGATATAATGTCATGCATTTAAAAGTATATGAAAGAGTTGCTGAGATGCGATGACAAGTATTTTTTTTTCAAAAAGGAGGGAAAAAAAGAAAGAAAAACCATGAAATAATTGAGGGAACAAGAAAATGGGTTGGGGGTGGAAAGGAGACACGCAGTCGGTAATGTTGGCGATGTAAAAAAAAAAAATAATAATTTTATAGCGAAGACGAAAGAATGAAAAGAAAAAAAAAAACATTCTAAGAGAAAATCAACCAAGCAACCCAAGGTAAGAAAATCCCTTTTATTATTGCATATACAATTCTCTGTCCGTTTTTCCTTTTTCTTTTTTCTTTTTTTATAATGCATAATTCTTCGGTGATTGGATTTTCCGGCTTTATGTCTTTGAATTCGGTTTTAAGAATTTTTAATCATTTCGTTACTTAATTGACCGGCATTACTTTTTGTACGTAGCACATTAACCTATCGCTAAACTAATTTAAACAGAATAAAGAACCTTGAAAGTCGTAGTATGATAGACTTGTTAGCAGTAATATGGGAAAAGAAGCAAGCATGAATAGTTACAAAAAATGCATAGATAGATAGATAGATAGATAGATAGATAGATAGATAGATTTTGTGTGTGAAGTTTTGAAAGTGTTGAAAGCTAGATAGAAAGATAGATAGATAGATAAGGACAGAATAAAACAAATAGATAGATAGATAGATAGATAGATAGATAGATAGATAGATAGATAGATAGATAGATAATGAAGAAACTGAGATAGATAGATAGATAGATAGATAGATAGATAGATAGATAGATAGATAGATATCATTGCTTCGCTTCATAAGTGTGGTTTTTGAAGGGTTTCCCCATCTTTTACAGGCCCTCAAATAGCTGGTTAGCTACATAGATAGATAATGAACAGAAAACGATAGATAGATAGATAGATAGATAGATAGATAGATAGATAGATAGATATTTTTAATCAATTCTACACAAGTAAGGCGATAAGGCCACTAAGATGCAAATTGCTACTTGGAGCGGAAGAGAATGTGAAAACTTTAAAAGGAAATGGAAACCCAATCCTAAAGATTACCCAAGATAGATAGATAGATAGATAGATAGATAGATAGATAGATAGATAGGAAGGAAGGAAGGAAGGAAGGAAGGAAGGAAGAGACTGGGGACAAACAGACAGGAAAACTTATCAAAACTTGATAGATACAGAAAGTGGTAGAAGAGTAAATGAATAGATTGATGTGCAGAGCCTAACTTTTGTCCCAAGTAAATGCGTACATGGATTTGTATCCACATAGACTTGGGAACGGTGTCAGTGATGTGACGCTTAAACAAATACGTATATAAAGTCCAGTTCAACACACACACACACACACACACACATATATATATATATGTCATATATATATCTATATATCTATATATATATGACAATTATTTTGTCTAAGTATGTGTGAGTTTGTGAGAGAATTTGTAAGGCTTTATATGCGTGCCTGTTGGTAGGTTACCATGAACAGATCTTGAAGAAGAAGTGCCATTGACCAAGTGATCCTATAACGGACAAAAAAGACAGACATATAAATGCATAGGCAATCATTTGACGAACAGCATAAGGTACAATGCAGTAACTGCTGTAAGAAAGTTCATGGTACCCACGACGGTTGTTTAGTGGCTAAAACAACCTATGCAATATATTGACGCCTTGACACCATGAGAAAGAACAAGAGAGGCATATGCATAGCTAGCTAGATTAAACGATATGTAGAAAGCATTGAAAACACTGAGATAGATAGATAGATAGATAGATAGATAGATAGATAGATAGATAGATAGATAGATAGATAGATAGTGAGAGAGAGAAAGAGAGAGATAGGAGAAGGCTGAGATAGATATAAGCCGGCTTAGATAGATAGATAGATAGATAGATAGATAGATAGATAGATAGATAGATAGATTTCCCGTATGAAGTTTTGAAAGGGTTCCCTCGTCTGTTGCAAGCACTTAAGTAGAAAAATAGATAGATAGATAGATAGATAGATAGATAGATAGATAGATAGATAGATAGATAGATAGATAATGGGTGTAAAAAGAGCGTGCCGGCGTATAGATCCACGCCCGATGCTTGCATATACTGCTAGGCATTCGCCTACACAGTTTTGTAAGTATGCGCACCCTGGTGTATTCTAATCGGGTAAATCGATTTGCAAATCCCCATCCTCAGCCCTTCTTGTAGTGTTAAATCAAGAATGTAAGCATTTGAAAAGCCTTTTTGCAAACACGAAGAAAAGAAAAGAAAAAAAAAAGGCAGCCTTTATTAATAATTTTTATCGAAACATATATTACTGCAAGTATCAATTTCGATGGAAATCTCTCCAAAACAATTTGTCACTGCAAAGCTAATGTCAGGATATTTGCGGGTATGTGTTGCTGGGTGTGGGTGTGTATTTGCGAAAAAGAGTATGGCTTGGAATTCCTGCTTCGTGTGTTATTGCAGTAGTCGCTAGACGTTAAACACGTATACATATATACGGTTAGAATACAGAGATTCTGCATAAAGACTTGAGGTGGCTTGACTCATCTGCAGTAGATAATAAAGAAAGACGATATTTCAAATATCAGTACAAAAGAACAGTGGATTAAAAACAGACGACATGCTGTTAAATAAGCATTATATGTATTTTCTATGTGCCTTGTCCTTTCAGAACGTTGAAGATTATGGCGCTCCACAGTTTCCTATGCTCTTATTAAATTTTATCTTTTTACTATCTTCCCATAAACCTGTTTTGTCATCCACTTACACAATCAAGTTTATACGCTGTTTTCCTCTGTCTTTCTAGTCTTCAATATGTCCTGTGAGTGTCAAATTTTCTGAGCCCTCTTTCCTCATTATATTCCCTACAAATTTCAGCCGTCTCTTTCTGATGTTAAATATCTCCTTTTTGTTTCCATTTTCTCTAAAACTTCGTCGTTGATCACATGTTTGGTCCAGGGTATTCTCAGCATCCTTCTGTAGAACCACATTTTTTGCTGCTTCACCTATTTTGTTATTCTGTGGTGAAATTCTCCAGCATCCACTGCCAAATAGGAAGACTGATATTACATAACAGTTAATTACTTTTTTTTTTTTTTGGCTTGGGTTTCATCTTGTTTTCTCTCCCACTTTTTGGTGTAACCAAAATCGACGATAATACTCTATAAAATCTGTCTATATTCAACAAAAAAAATAAAATGAACGAACAATGAAAAAAAATAGACAAAACTGTAGAAGAATACAAAATCAAAGGCCTGAACGAGATTTTTTTTTTTTTAAATAACGAAAATAAAAAAATTCAAAGGAAGAAACTGAAAGACGTAGAAGAAAAAAATGGTTTAAATAACACTTACTGAAATATCATGTCGGGGAAACACCGGTTTAATCAGCGTTGAATATATTAATTGTTCTAAATGTAAATTATTTTGTAGTCGGTATCGCAAGGAAAATCCCTGCTCATTTTTCAGAATAGGGAATCCCAAGCTCCATTACAAAAAAGAACACTTTGTCAATTGTTCCATCAATTTTTTACGATAAATTTAAATTGAAAAAACAACAGAATAATGATGTATTTTTTTTACTAAATGTTTAGTTTTCTTCCTCATCATCATCATCATCATCCTCATCATCTTAATACTATTATTATTATTTTTATTCCCTTTGATTTCTGGCGTTTACACATTTCTTTCCGGGTCCCGCCCAGGAACTTAAGGTTAGAAATGGCATCATGACACTTTTTTCCACTGACAAAAAAAAAAAAATGACATAGATAAAGCCCTTCGTAAAGAACAATTTTTTGTATCTCTTTGAGGATTCTTCTTCTTCTTCTTCTTCTTCTAATTATTATTATTATTATTATTATTATTATTATTATTATTATTATTGCCGTTTTTGTTATATTAATTATGTATCTGGAGAGCGTACTACAAATATGAAACCCTACGCCTTTTTTCGGATGAAACTGCAAGAGCTGATAGTAGATTAAAAAAAATGTCTTATGTCTAGATACTTGCTCGTAGGCTACAAGTCGTATCTAATATATTAATCTTTCTGTACCCAGTTCAAGAAATAAACTCTTTGGATCAATGTTATTAATTCAGTTATGTCCCTTGTCTTGTCCGTATGTTCATACGAGACAAGAAAAGGAGAAATTTATACAATAAAATTATTATTCGATTCCTCAAATATAACGATTTTTCCTTACTTTGGTTGATGGAAAAGCAAATCCTGCCTAGCGCTACATGATCTTTTTGGGTATAGTTGATGCGCCAGAAAATATATTGTGCTCATGTTCTACTCCATAATCATTTTTCCAAACGCCTATTTCTGTGTTACGGGTGTTCGACAGCTACGGTGACTAATGGAAAACAATTGCGTAAAAATAAGTGACTACGGATTTAAATTGCTTTTTTGTTTTTTTTAGTAGAAAGGTATCTGAATGGGTAGAAAAGAAAATCCTATTGACTTCAGTACTGAAAACGAATTTGTTGTCAACGTCTGAAAAAAATGGTTTCAATTAAGACTGTCCTTTTGTCATGATCAAGAAAATGGACAATAAAAGATGAAAGACCTGAAGACTTGAATGACAGAGAGCATGACAGAAGTAATCCCACGGAAAGCAAAATTTATGGGAAAAAAGAAGAAAGGATATATATATATATCCTTTATGTGTGTGTGTGTGTGTGTGTGATGTGTGTGTGTGTGTGTGTGTGTGTGTGAAAAAATATGGGAATTTATGGGAAAAAATAAGAAAGGATATATATATATATATATATATATATATATATATATATATATATATATATATATATATATATAAAAAATATGGGAATTTATAGGAAAAATAAGAAAGGATATATATATATATATATATATATATATGTGTGTGTGTGTGTGTGTGTGTGTGTGTGTGTGTGTGTGTGTGAAAAATATGAGAATTTATGGCGAAAAATAAGAAAGTATATATATATATATATATATAAATATATATATATATATATATATATGTCTGTTATTTTTATTGTTTCAAACGTTACTTTTAGTGGATGCTTAGAAACCTGCCAGAAAACATATTTTCTTTACTACGGTTCCTAGAATGTGCAGAGGGATAGTTATAACACCCACCCACTGTTTAATAAGTAAAACTGGGGAGCCTACTTAAAATACGAAATATCTTGTTAGTCAAGTATTGCATTTTCTTCTAACTGGATGACGATGCAAGCACCGAAGGCCGCATCGGACATCTCGCATTTCTAGCTCTAAGCATTGCTCGCGAGTGTCTGCAATATCTTTTAAAGCCTGAAAGTGCCCTAAAGGAAAACAAAAGCAAAAATATTCAAATGGATGTGCAAAGACGCAGACGACACTGAAAATACATGGGGAGGACTCAAAAAAAAAAAAAAGAAAGAATAAAAAATATGAAATCAGGGACATGAGGTATAAATATCAAATTATA